TTATATAAAGTAGTAATCTCTGTTTGTTTGTTATCTCTGATCATCACAAAAGAACCCTTTAACTAATTTGCCTCAAATTTTGATTTGAGAACTCAATAGGAACTATATTAGTTTACAAATTCTAAATTGAGTGGGTTGACTTTTTAGGAATAACTTTGTTTCCAGACATGGTCGGTCTGAAAAGTTTAGTAGGTTGGCTTTAATTTATGAAGGTTTAGTTTCCAGGCAAAGCTGGGTTCAAAGGCTAGTTTGATTTTATATTATTTCAACTGAAGGCCCGGCATTACCTGGGTTACCTATTGTCACCCCAGTCGCCTGACTGCCTCCAAAGAGAGCAGGCCTGTGGTCCCAGAATTACAGCCCAAAGGAGCTCTGTGTTTAGTTATGCATTTCATATTCTGCAGGGAAAGCAAGGAATGTACAATATACATAGATTAAAACAAAGTTTCATCTTCAGCATGGTGGACTGAAAGAAGGAACCCCTGATGGGTATACAAGCTATGCACAATAATACCGGTTTTTTACTCGACCAGCTGTGAGGACTGGACTGCTATGGAAGATTCCTCTCAAGCAATCTTCAGGATTTACAACTCCCCATTTTGCATAAGGGATGCAGATATTGGTTTTCCTTAATCCTCCTTATCTCAGAAAGAGTATAATAAAGAAGGAAGCAATCCCCTATACTCTTCTTCCTAAAAACCTCCTTATCTCTCTCCTACCTGCTCCACAACTCGATGTCAAAAGAACTATTTGGAAAGGCTAAAAGTATAAAAACAAGATAAATTCAAGAAAAAAGAAGAAAATATTGAAGAGGAAAATTAGAAGGGGTGTTTTTAGGTTTGCACTATCTTTAATACCAATAGCGAATGGGAGATGCCCCCCCCCCTTTTCTATTCTACCTGGTTAAAGGATCTAGAAAGTGTTTTGAAGCAGATGCAAGCAAAACATGTGCAAGTAATGGAATGTAAGAGGAAAGAGTAGTGACTTGATCAGTCGAACCTTCCCCCCGTGCCCCCAAGATTTCAATATAGAAGCCCTGAGAAAAGAAAGCCAGTCAGCCAGTTCAAATGAATAAAGGGTTCGGAAAAAAGCAAGATCTTTTTAAAAATACTTCTTGTAATGTAGCTAATTACAAGGACATCCCTTTTCTGTTCTTTTTTCAAAATTAGCCGATTTATGAATGAAAGATGTATGAAAGATGTATGAACAAGAAGAAAATGAAGAACAAGAAATATAGAAATCTCAAAACATCTTCATGTAATATTACATAAATATTTAAAAATATTGTAAAATTTGATTGAAATAAATTTTTAAAGTCAAAACTCATTGTTACCCCCGCCGTTTACCCGCACTTGGTCTTAAATTACGATTTTAACTATTTTTTTCCTGGACTCAACGTAGCATCTAAAAACCCACTCAATTTAGGACCAAAAAGTCAAACTAAGAACATTCTCATGGTTCCCCCAAGTTCCCCAATCACAATTTGAGGCAGATTGGTCTTGGGGTTCCTGAGTTATGATGGAAAATACAGACATCCAAACACACAGATTACTACTTTAGATACATTTATATACTTAGTTTATGAATAATATGATATTGAAGAGATTGTATATATATATAATATTATATCTAAAGTGATTTTATGAATAATATTATACTTAATTGGATTGCATGAATAATATTTCATTTAAAGGGATTATATGGATAATATTATATTCAAAGGGATTTTATGGATAATATTATATTTAAAGGGATTATATGGATAATATTATATTCAAAGGGATTGTATGGATAATATTTTATTTAAAGGGATTATAAGGATAATATTATATTTAAATCGATTGTATGGATAATATTATATTTAAAGGGATTATATGGATAATATTATATTCAAAGGGATTGTATGGATAATATTTTATTTAAAGGGATTATAAGGATAATATTATATTTAAATCGATTGTATGAATAATATTATATTTAAATAGATTGCATGTACAATATTATATTTAAAGGGATTGTATGAATAATATTATATTTAAAGGGATTGTATGGACAATATTATATTTAAAGGGATTGTATGAATAATATTATATTTAAATAGATTGCATGTACAATATTATATTCAACGGGATTGTATGGATAATATTATATTTAAAGGGATTGTATGGGTAATATTGTATTTAAAGGGATTGTATGGATAATATTATATTTAAAGAGATTGCATGGACAATATTATATTTAAAGGGATTATATGGATAATATTATATTTAAAGGGATTGTATGGATAATATCTGCACGAGGCTGGGACTTCAGCAGCCTGATCTCTTTGGTCTCAGATTTGTGTCCAGAAGGTTTTTTTTATTAATGAAAGTTTTAAAAATTCTTTTCCTCAAACTATTTTATTTTCGTCTAAATTTTATTAATTTGTCCATTTGTGCGTACAAATTTTTAAGCCCTTTTTCTTTCGCTAAATTTCAAAAAAGTTTAAACTTTCAAAACTTTGTTTCAAATTGTTTTTGAAATCAATTTATTTATACTATTATTCAAAATATGTATAACATTCAATATTCTACTATTTAGTTCCTCCCCCTTCAGCTGAATTCCCAATATTCTACAGTTTAGTTCCTCCCCCTGCAGCTGAATTCCCTGCTTTTTTACTTTCCTTTAAATCTTCTTATTTTACATTAAAACATTTTAGCCAAATTTATGTCCACTGCCCAGAGTTGGAAACTCTTGTATTGTAAATATAGAGAACAATGCTTGATCTTGATCTTTTGTTAATCTGCAGATTAGTTTAATCTTTATTCAATATCCGCATTGTAATTGTACCCTGAAGGGAAAACTGAAATGAAGAGATTTTACATTAATCCTCAATGTAAAAGTGACCACAGTGGATAATGAGATCCAGCGATATTAGTATCCAAGACCAACGTTCCCAGCTCAGATTTAATAAATAGTGAGATATGGTTGAACCGGACAGACTTGGTTCAACTATGTCTGCGCGGTTTAACTAAATATTTCTGATCAGGGCGTACCCTCGTATCCGGTGGGTGGAGCTGGACCGCCCCCTGAAGAAGCAGTTGGAGAAGTATAGCAGGGAACCCTACCTATACCTGGGGGTTATATTCTACGTCACAGATGTTTCCTTACTAGAGGACGAGGTCAGTGTTTGATTTTTCTAAAATTATTTTCTTAACCTTCCCTCATTAAAGGGACTGTAAGCGTAATTTCAAGTGAACTTCCATGAAAAGATGGCAATGCCCGAATAACATTTATTTCCTTTAAACCTATGACTGATCATTAAGGCAATAGAACTTATTGTTTAACTTTATAAATGTATTCAAATTCGGGATTGTACGCTGGCGTACAGTATGAACTTGCAGCTGACGTTAAAAGTTTAAAGTATTTAAGTGTTTCCGCAGCTAATGAAGTGTTAATTAAGTGTTTCCGCAGCTAATGAAGTGTTAATTAAGTGTTTCCGCAGCTAATGAACAATAAGTCTGACATCGTTGATTAGTTTAAGGTTTAATAAGGTTAAAAGGGTACTGTTGTTCTGAATCGGACACACCACTCTACAAATGAAGGGTCACTTGAAATTATGCCTACAGTCCCTTTAATAGCCCCATCAAATCCACTTTCAATTACCAATACTGGAGAATCAGATCAGCGTTTAATATACAATTTAAAGAGTTTGTTCAAATTATAATTAACTTGAGACATATATAATTTTTCGGGTTGGATGAAAATGGTTTTACACAGTAATTTACAGAGAAAAGCAAAATAAGGGCCGAAACATAGTAAGATTTAGTTAAGACGAGGTATATAATTTGATTTACCCTACAGTTCCCCAGGTTTTTGGGTTATGAGGAGGAGCCAACACTTTTATATTTATTTCTCTTACAGGTGACAAGGTATCATTACTTCCTGCAGTTGAAAACTGACGTTGTTGAAGGTCGTCTTCGTTGCAATTACGAGCAGGCCATAGTGCTAGCCAGCTACAGCTTGCAGGTTACCTCATTGTAGTTTTTTTTAATCCATTAGCATGTTAATATCGTTAATATCGTGTTAGACCTTAAAAATAGTTTTCACGATCATGATCCTAATAATAAGAATGTAAATGATCAGGCTGAGTTTGGTGATCATGATCCTGAGAAGCATACTGCTGAGTATCTGAAGGATTTCCCTCTCCTACCCAAACCTATGATCTCACACTTTGAAGACAGGTAGGAATATCTTTATTTATTTAAATCAGATCAAATAAAAACTTTTCCAACAGATTCCAAGTTTCAGAATGGGGTCTAATGAACAATAGTTTTTCAGTCTGGCCCTGGACATTTTTTAATCCTATACATTTTTTTTACAGGTTTCAGCACACAAACAAATTTGAGTCATGATGCCATGATTATGACTTACCAATTATATTCTAAACGCTAAATGATGAGTGCCTTCCCCATGGAGTTTGATAAATCAAGTTTTTTTTAAACAGATCCAATCCCAAAGGCCAAAGCTGGAAGTTTTTGTATTGGACCGGCTTAGCCAAAGAATTCAGCCGCTAAACTCGAAATCTAGTAGATAAACTTCAAAATGTCCTAAAGTTCAACCTACAATGACTGTATTTCAACTGTGAAGTAAATTTTGAGTCTAATATCTAATATCCAGCTAAGTCTAGGAATCCAAGATTTAGCTGTAGATCCAACTCAGTTTGTATTTTTAGTCCCAACGAAGGGTTTTTAATTGATATTGAAAATAAAATCTACCTATGCTGAGATTTCATATACATATTTTTTCAGAACTTGATCAATATAAAATTCACAAAGATTCAGCCTGCTTATAACAAGTCTCATTAATTTTTAAGACAGAATCGACTTTGAAGTGTTGCAACGCCTTGTGCTTTGATTTGACTACTCTAACTCACTTATGCTTTTCTGTAGCCCTTTACATGTACACTATAAAGCACTTGGTGCTATCTTTGGTTTGAAAGAAGTAATTGGCAAAATTTTTATCGATTTCGCATGAGACCTTTAAATCAAAGTAAATTTTTTTGAAATAGCGTACCCGAAGATTTCATTTCGGGATTCTGTTCAGATATTTTTCTTTGTCTTTTTCTTAATTGTTATTTTTTAGACTTGGAGCCTTAACCGACGCCATTGTTACTCAGCACAACAGTCTGCGCGGCATTGCGGCGCAACTAGCCGAGATCTATTATATAGTTGGTGCGCAGCAGCTGGAGGGGTATGGACAAGAGTGCTTTCTCGCTAAAGTGAGTTTAGACATTTTTTGGCGGGAAATTATTTTAAAACATTTTAGTTGGAAAATACAGCGAGAGGGTTACACTTAAGTGCAGCTTACACAGTCCATATAAACTTAACAAGTTTGGTTTTAAGCAACTGTTAAAACATCAGCTACAAAGAATATAAGATTAAACATCTCCATAGTATTATGGGTCTCACTGTATTCTAAAGCGTTTTGGGTTAAGCACAAAGGATGACGGCCTGCAACTCTTATAAATAACATATATCTTCTAAACAACGCTAAATTTTATGGAATTCAATTAAACACAATTTTTTTATCCCTAATATTCATCTCTTTGTCTGATTATATAGCTGGGTGGTTTAAAAGTTTAAACCACTAAATATTTGATTTTAACTAATATTTTTGTATAGGATGACACAGGAAATGAGGTTCTGATTGGAGCTTCACTAACAGGTGCTAAACTATAATCTTTAATCTTCAAGATTAAAGGGACTGTGTCGTAATTTCAAGTGGCTCATCCATTCATAAAGTGGCATGTACGGTTCACAATTGGACCCTTGAAAGCATTGATAATTGTGGAAAAAATACTTGAAAATGATTCTAAGAACATGACTGGATTTTGAGTAAGGAGAAAGACATTTCCCGTTTTCATATTTTTCGTGGCAATAAAAATTCTGGAAAAAATAATTGAAAAGAATTTTTGGAATCTGTGTTTGTAAATTATTGAATTTTTGTGAAAGACAATTTTTAACCACTGCTGCTTGTTTTTTTTTATATAGGAATCTGTGTACGGAAAGGGAACGGAAACTCTCCTCAGTTCTTCCGGTGGAGGGATATCACCAACCTTGTCAATCATAAGAAATATTTTGGAATAGATTGTCAAAACTTTGAATTCAGGTTGGATAAAACATTCTTTTAAAGATACAAGGATGAGACTCTTCAGAGACGACTGTACGGAAATTATTCTGTCCGTTTCCTTATAACCGCAAATCCCTGCAACTGTAAAATTGTTTCTTTCTTTGTCCTATCATTCAGTAAGTAATTAAAAGACTATATTCAGAGCAGAAGATTTAATTTAACCTTGGAATCGTCATATTTTAAGAGATTTAGGTCGTCTTTACAGTCTCCTCCTTTGTCGGTAACCCTGTATTTTTCAGATTTTAAGAGAAAAATTTACATTTAGCATTTATCTGCAGTATCTTCACAGAGTGTATTCAATATAACAAAATTGGTAAAACTAGTTGGACATGTTTTTTTCCGGCTTTAAAACTTAAAATTTCTCTAAATGGCGGGTTGTCTTTTACTATGATAATAATAATAATAATATTAACATATACATTTTAATTATCTTAGTCTTCTCAGATTTTTTATGGAATAACCTGGAACCACAATTGTTAAATCGGATTAGAACTAATAACAAAGCCCTACTCTGTACAAAGTGTTATGTAAATAACGCCGTGTTTTAAGTGTACAATTTTGTTCAAAACTTGTGTGTACAGCCTTCAATGAACTGTATGTTTAGTGTACAGTTTGTATACGATTAACACTATTTTTCATGTCAAGTAGTTAGTTTTATGTACAGTTTGTATTCAATGAACCTTATTTTAGTGTACAGTTTGTATTCAATGAACCTTATTTTTAGTGTACAGTTTGTATTCAATGAACCTTATTTTAGTGTACAGTTTGTATTCAATGAACCTGATGCCGCAAAATACGTTTGGAAAATCTGTGTGCTTCAGCATACATTCTTTAAAATGCACCAGGTATAAAAACTGAAATAATGAAGATAAATAAATCAGTAGATAGAAAATGTTTGTGAAATAAAGAATATGATGGTGGGATCACAACACAAGGTTTAAAGATGAGGCTTCAGACATGGCTGTATGTACAGCATTTTGCGGTTTCAGATGTTGATTTAATTTTCTCTTGGACGTCATAAAAAGGACTGTGAATCAGACATATGCACCTCTTTAAAGGGAGGGAGGTCACTTGAAATTATGTCTGCAGTCCCTTCTTTTTGTTTTGTAGCACTAAAGTTAAAAATAGAGGAGATTTAAATTATACATTCTTGAACGGAAAAATATTGTTCAGTCTTCAACGGAACTTTATTAATTAATTTTCAGTCTGCGACGGAGAGCTGTGAGATGAATATAACTGTAGAGCCAGGGAGTCATCCACTCTCCTCCTCACTCACTTCATCCCATCCTCTCTCCTCCCCTCACCCCCTCTCCTCATCCCCCCTCCCTCCTCTTCATCTGGAAGATTATATGTACAAAGTTCCTCCAGGTATCTATTCATTTGTCTATCTTTATGTGTATCTGGTTGTCTGCCTATATGTCCAACTATCTATTTATGTGTCTGTATGTCTATCTATCTATTTATCTAAATAGTTTATATATATATATATATATATATATATCTGTCTATTTATATTTTTTTCTGCTTGCCTATTTGTCTATCTATCTATTTTCTGTCTATACTATATATTTTTGTATATTTACCTGTCTATCTCTATCTTTATCTATATCTGTCTATTTGTCTTTCTATATGTCTGCCTATCTATCGGTCGTTGTCTGTCTATCTGTTTGTCTATTTGTCTATCTATGTTCGTCTTTTTATCTCTCTATTTGTCTTTTTTCTTTTAGAGGTGGAGGGGAAATATTCCCACAACCTCTTTTTTTTGAGGTTTTAGTACTTTTTTTGTTATTTTTCATAAATAAATAATTACTTACTGAAAATAATTATTTACTCACTATCTATTTCTCAAATCGATCTTTCTATGTATTTGTCTAACTAGGACCGGCTGTAATAAAAGCAGCAGATATAAAAACCTTTCAACAACGAAGTCAAAATATCCCACTTTCTGTAGAAAAAAGGTAATAAAATGATTATTTTACAATTTTAAATTTTTTAAGCCTTAAATCATCAGTTTTAAGGGGGGGGGGCGGGGGGTATTGGAGAATAGTAATATATATTTTAAAAAACATTTTCCCTGCAATCTAAAGCAAATTGCCTAAAAGTCTGAACTTTTGTTTTGTGTATCTTGGGATCAATCATTGACAAGACTCTATAAAATATTTTTGTAAAAATATAATTTTAGGGCTGGGAACAGTTCAATTTCTGGAGGATTAGACCGTAGATCAGGATACACTACATCCAGGCTTCTACTTAATCAATCAATCAATCAAACAGGTAGATTACGTGCACTGTACAGTGTTTAATGTACAGTATAACCTGTACACTGTACTGTTTAATTATACAGTGTACAATTGAGAGTGTATGCTGTACATTTTACAGTGAAGACAAGATGAAAAACTTATCAATATTTAGCATTCAACTATTAATTGCTTAAAGGACCAGAGGCTGAATTTAAAGAATTTGAGCCACATCTCAAATTTGAGACTTGGCTCAAACCTGGTTGGTTCCACTTGAAATTGTATTCAGTGTTTTGAGATTTTAGCCGGAATGGAATGAAATGGATTTTAGCGATTTAGTGATTCGGTTTCAATTCTTTAAATTTGGCCTCTAATTTAATTAATAGCAAGAAGTACTTAAACTGCGCAGACATAGTTCAACCACTTCTTTTGTGTGCCAGTTCAAACAACAAGAGAATTGATTGAACCACGTCAATCTGGTTTAACAATATTTTCCTATTCAATTTATCTGGTCACTGGGGTCAATCTTAATAGGTTTTGAATTTAAAAATTAATCAGATTTTTTTAGGACTCGGGGCTTCTATGAACTTAACTCTTGCTAATATGCCGCCAAAAATATCAAATCTAGGTATCTTATCAAGTATTTATAGTTTTAATTATCATTATTGTTTTTAGTATTATTCATATTTTTATGTTTATTTTATTACTATTATTATTGTTATTATTATTACTGTTTTAATTATGAACTGTGAAGGTGGAGTAGGACGGCTCTCCTCTGGTTCCAACCCTAGACGGAGTAGTTCCAGTCTTAACATAAACCAGTCCCTCTTTACTCCAGGATACCTTTCAGGTATTAACAACAAAATCTCAAAAAAATTTACAACGTCGTCATGACGTTACTTGGTTAGTTGGGTATTTGATAAAACGACTATTAAAAATTTTTTCATACAACAACATACTTAAGTGTTCATGTTTCAAAACTCTTATTTCACTCAAGAGTCTAGATTATTAGTTGATTTTTGGAAAGAAAATGTTGCATAGATTATAAACTTTAAAAATGTTAAAAAGTAATTTTAAAATGATAAGTAAATGTGTAAATGAGTAAATGAGTAAATAAGTAAATGAGTAAATGAGTAAATGAGTAAATAAAGAAATGAGTGAATGAGTGAATGAGTAAATAAATGAATGAGTTAATGAGTAAATGAGTCAATAAGTTAATGAGCGAATTAGCAAATGAGTAGATGAGTCAATGAGTCAATGAGTAGAGTCAATGAGTCAATGAGTCAATGAGTCAATGAGTCAATGAGTCAATGAGCGAATAAGTCAGTGAGTCAATGAGTCAATTTGTGATCTTAAAAATTAATTAATCTATTTTCTCTAGCATACAAGGAGCATCTCTTCTATGACTATTTAACACGTAAATATGAATTTAAACATGTTTTTAACTTTGTTTATTTATAACATTCTGAATTCTACTTTTTGATTAATTTTATTTAGGTTTAAACTTTTATTTTATCTACTAACTTAGTATTTCGAGAAAGAGGAATTTTCGATATTCAAAATTATTGCAAACGTAGATTAGATTTATTGATAGTAATATCTTTTTTCAAGGATTATAACTTTAAAAAATATAAAAAAATCATAAAATTTGATATTTTCAACCCACCTGCAATGCAAACCTTAATACTTATTTTTGATTTTTTTTGTTTAATTTTATTTAGATAAGATCACTTGATAAGTTAAGTACATTATCTTATTTACAAGTTACCCATAAAACATGGCTTTATGGGGGTAGTTATAAATGTAGGGGTCCAATACCTATAAAACTGGGAAAATGGTTAAAATCTTCAAAAATAAAATTCTAAAATTGACTCTTTGATTCAAATTGTAAGAACTTGTTTAAAGCGTTTTTTTAAAAGCTAGTAATGCACAAGTCACTTTTGCACAAAAAAAACAGCAAATTAAAATAAACACTTGACAGTTTAAAGACACAAAATCATGGATATCTAATTCATAGTTGATCAGAAAAAGCTTTTAAGGGTACCATTGTAAATCAGGCAAAGCTATTTTGCATGGAGGTTCACTTTAAATTTAACTTATAGTCCCTTTAAGACACATTTAAGTAAATATATTTAATCCGCCATTTTGTTTAGGTGCACGCTCAACTAACGACCTGGACCGGCTTGAGGGCAGCGTGGACCGACGAACTGGTACAATTGTACCAATGTACAGGCCCGCCCCGGACTATGAAACCGCTGTTATGTCTAAGTACAAAGGGAATAACAGGATGAGTCAGGTAAGATACAAACAATGGCTCTGGATTTTTCTTAAGTGTTGAAATTGTAAAAACTTTTTGCGTATACAGTACTTACTAACTTAAATGGTAATCAAAAGAAAAATTTAGTTGACATCATAAGAGAAATCTATGGTGTTTTATTTTTAGCAAGAAATGAAATACACGCGCAAAATATTAAGGATTAGTTTAAAGTTATCAAATATTAATGAGGTAGAAACCTTTTTTAGAGATGGAGACTGTATAAAATATAACGACTGCTTACAAAAAGGCGACTGTTTGCAAAATGGCGGATGTTAATCACGTGATATTTAAGATGGCGCAGATGTATTCGTCCCACCCAGAGATCCGGCAACCTCCACCTGGACAACCAAACCTTTCTCAACATGATCTTCGCCATCTTCATCTGGGACATGGAGTTCATAATCAGCTAGAGGTAAGCCAGGGACTTTATACAGTTTCTAAAGGGACTCTAACCGTATGTCCGACTTCAGGCTTTCCAAAGCTTTTTCTAGGCTGGTTAAAGGGACTTTAAAGGAAAAATGAATCGAGACTTGGTCACGTGATACAGACGGGGTCACGTGACGATAATACTGCGCTACCATTGGTTGGAGTTCTGGTCACGTGATAATGACGTATAAATAATATTATCAATTATACATATTAAAAATGAAAAATTATTAAATTCAAATTATAACAGGAGTAAACTTGAGTTTTTCAGGCTCCTCTGGGATATCGTAGTTTTCAGATTGGTTGCGTTTTTGCTGAATATGATTTGTTTTAAACTTAGAGTCACCAAATCTTACATATAGAAGTTTTGGTACAATTTTGACACAGTTTTATATCAATTTCCCGAAACAAGATTATCAGATAGACCTTTTAAAGGTCTCGATCAACCCCTGAAATTCTCGTGTTTCAGCCCCTTTACTTTTTCCTTTACAGTTCTTTTAAAGATATCAGATTAGCTATGTTATTAGACGCTAGTAAAATCCTATTATTTTGGTATGGATTTAATTTTTTTAGTCTGTTAAATCTTTTAGTGCGTATTTAACATTTTTTTAAATCTTCTTATGCATGGTGTGCAGATTTTATTTTATTTTCTCAGTCTTAAAGTAATTTAAAGACATATTTTAATTTTGTCAAAGTATACTTTTAACTTCTTTTAAGTTATAGATAAGATTGGAATTGCAGGATGTTGTCGAAGACTTTTTTATCGGAATAAAATGTTTAAAACTATTTTATAATAGTTTCCAACTATTTTAAAACCTTAGTTTTTTATTTTATGATTTTCCCTTTCTTTTATTTAATTTTTTTGTCTTTGATTTGTCAAACAATCAAACTTTTCAATTTTTTAGTTAATAAATTGATTAATTGATTGATTAATTGATTGATTAATAAATTGATTAATTGATTGATTTATCATGTTAAGCCTGAAGTCTGGTTTCCGCTGAACAGTGCACATACCTACTCCACGCCGGAACTGAACACTGCAGGTACAAACTCATTCATTATAAATTTTTTTTTTTTTCTTAAGTTAAAAAAGACCGTTTTTGTCGTAAATAATATCTCGCAGGGGGGTTTTATTGCGGCCAACTTTCACAATTTACATATACGCAAAAAAATGACAAATTTCCGAATATTGTTTAATTATTGTTCTTGGATTAAGACTATTATATATATGAGCAGACATTAAAAGATATTTGATGTTGTTTTACCATAAAACATTCAATATCATAGTCCAAGTATTTAAGAAGTATATCAATTCTGAAAAAATCACTTAAAGGGAGTGTGCGCGAAAAATGAAAGGGGGTATAGGCTTAATGCGATAATAAAGCGCTTTTGATCGCTACTAATCTTACTTCTATTTGTTGTGTCTATAAAAGAAAAATTGTTAAAAACGACTAATACCGAAGAACGTAGTGTTCATACAAAGATGCAACATTCAACTCGGATCGTAAAGAAATCAATTTAATTCCAAACAAATCATTCAGATATTACAAACAATAGTCATCGATTATTTTTCGACGCATTTGTAAATAGTTGATATTTCATAACATTTTGTATTTTTCATAATCTGAGAGTTACTTTTGAAAACATGTATTCCTGTTTCGAGGATTTTTGATAATGAAGACGGCATTTTCATATTTTCCAGGAATGTTCGAAAATCCAGCGTCAGCGAAAATTATTAAAAAAATATTTTAAAAGATATATTTGATGTTGTTACAAAGGAAAAAGTTTTACTAGTAGCCATAGTCATCAATTATTCAGAAAATAGTCTGTGCACACTGCACAATTTGCATTGTTTCATGTTCATTGGACTATTTAAAATTATACTTGAGCACAAAAGTCGTCTTCCCATTCCAAAGTTTTCTTTTTATCGCTTATATACATTATGCAAGTGTTGGGACAAGTCTTCCATCAACATTTCTGGTTATCACTAAAGTATTTTCTAGGAGACGGGTTTGATCCGTTAAACCATTTAACAATATATAAGCCCCCACCACCCTACCCTGGGGAACACCATTCTCATTTCTCCAGTAGTACTCCAGACCTCGCCTCGCAGACCCTGCCTCCACTGGTCGGAGGATCCTCTCCCGACCTCGTGTCTAGGAGGACGTTAGGGCCGGCGGCCGGTCGACACAATCAGGTGATTTTTTTAATGCGGTTAATTTCCTGTATTTCCGGGCAACATGTTCGGATTTTTTAACTCACACTTGGAACTATTTCTGCTCAAAGGAATTGTTAAATTTTAAGAAATCCTTCTTTTGCCTAAGGGGCAGGTCCGATTCACAACAGTACCCTTAAAGCTTAGACTGATTACGTATGAATTAGATTTCCCGGTTTATAATTTTTTAACATGGTTATTTTAATTTTGGTTTTCTACTAAAGTGACTCGCGCATTTCTGCTACAGAAAAACAATGTAGAAGATATCAGTTACATGATGTTTACAATTCCATTAAATGGATTGTCGTTGTAATATCTCATGAACGTCCAGTATAGAAGGTCCCGATTCACAATGGTACCCTTTACACCTTTATCTCATCAATAATGTTAATTCTCACATTTTCCTCCATTGTTTCTGGTGCAGAAATCCGTTAGTGATATTTTTAGAGAAACTATAATAAAATATTATGAAATTTTCATTAGAAAAAATCCCATGGACTCTAGGAATGGTATGGAATTGAACATGATTCTAGGATGTTCCAATACAATGTTTTCAATACATCTTTTTTAATTGAAGATTAAGTTTTTTGCATTTATAGCATTTTTTTAACATAAATTTAAATATATTATTTTAGACAAATCCGGACTTGAACCGGACCTATGACAATTTGACCGGAAGCGGAAGTGGAGGAGGGGGCCAGGAACCGGTTTCTAGATACACCGCGTACAGTACAGAGGTAGGAGAACAAAGATTATGAACCGGTTTGTCTTGGCAATTCGTAAATTTGTCATTATAAAAGAAAAAATTATAAATGCTCATATTTTTGCGAGCGAGGAAAAAGAGATAATCGTCTTTACCAATTCCATAGAATCCCATCAAAGAAAAGAAAGCCAGTATATTGTTTTCCAATACATCTGCTAATACTTTGGTGAAGACATGGGGGGTTTTAAGCCGTTTGATGAACTGTCTGAAAAATTTTAACACTCAGATAAAAATTTATCAAAATAGTAAAATAATTTCTTTCTTATCGTATTCTTATCTTATGATCATACTTTTATCAATTTGTTTCATTTTCTTCTTTGCTGGTTGTGCTAGCTGGACTTTTTATGTGTACGTATAAAGAGGGGNTCTGATCTAAACTATTCATATACACACCAATACCACTCTGATCTAAACTATGCATATACACACCAATACCACTCTGATCTAAACTATGCATATACACACCAATACCACTCTGATCTAAACTATTCATATACACACCAATACCACTCTGATCTAAACTATTCATATACACACCAATACCACTCTGATCTAAACTATGCATATACACACCAATACCACTCTGATCTAAACTATGCATATACACACCAATACCACTCTGATCTAAACTATTCATATACACACCAATACCACTCTGATCTAAACTATTCATATACACACCAATACCACTCTGATCTAAACTATGCATATACACACCAATACCACTCTGATCTAAACTATGCATATACACACCAATACCACTCTGATCTAAACTATTCATATACACACCAATACCACTCTGATCTAAACTATTCATATACACACCAATACCACTCTGATCTAAACTATGCATATACACACCAATACCACTCTGATCTAAACTATTCATATACACACACCAACACCACTTCTGATCTAAACTCTTCAAGTTCTCACCAATATAGATTTTGCCAAATACTCCCTTCAAACTAAAGCTAGATTTTGCCAAATACTCCCTTCAACTAAAGCTAGATTTTGCCAAATTCTCCCTGCAAACTGAAGCTAGATGTTTCCAAATACTCCCCTTAAACTAAAGCTAGATTTTGCCAAAATACTTCCTGCAAACGGAAGCTAGATTTTGTCAAATACTTCCTTCTAACTGAAGCGCTAGATTTTGCCAAATATTCCCCTCAAACTAAAGCTATATTTTGCCAAACATTCCCCTCAAACTAAAGCTATATTTTGCCAAAATACTTCCTGCAAACGGAAGCTAGATTTTGCCAAAATACTTCCTTCAAACTAAAGCTAGATTTTGCCAAAATACTTCTTTCAAACGGAAGCTAGATTTTGCCAAAATACTTCCTGCAAACGGAAGCTTGATTTTGCCAAATACTCCTTTCAAACTGAAGCGCTAGATTTTGCCAAATACTTCCTTCAAACTAAAGCTAGATTTTGCCAAATACTCCCTTCAAACTAAAGCTAGATTTTGACTTCTTCATTTCTTCATCGCCATCTTTGCGCATCAAGGTTCACTTAGAACAAAACTCACAGTCCCTATTATAGCTGATGCATAATTTTCAGAATATAACGTATATGTGCTCATTGCTGTTTAGTGTGCAGTTTATATGCCTTTCGACCTACGCATTAATGCATTAATGACAGCTGTGATATATTGCATAGATACAGTTGACAGCTGTGTTATATTACATATATACAGTTGACAGCTGTGCTATATTGCATATATACAGTTGACAGCGTTTTTATATTGCATGTACAGTTGATAGTGATGATAGATTGTATATCTATAGTTTACAGTGGGGATATATTGCATACATACAGTAGACAGCGGTGTTATATTGCAAAAACAGATGACAGTGCTGGTGTATTGTATATCTACAGTTTACAGTGTTGTTATACTGCATATCTACAGTTTACAGTGGTGATGTATTGCATCTACAGTTGACATTGGTGTTAAATTGTATATGTACAGTTGACAGCGGTGTGAATTGCATTTACAGATGACAGCTATGGTATATGTATATCTACATTTGACAGTAGATAGATTGCATATAGTTGCGTGGTTCAAGATTTCTCCGTTATTGAATTTAAAATTAGCATGAAGTTGCATTAGCACGTAGTACGTATACATTTATATACAGTCTTACTTCACTTTAACATTTCTTAAATACTTTCACTTTTATACTTTACTGTCATTACGTTTTTGTTCCTGTCGGAAGCGGAAGTGGAGGA